ACGTGTGTGGCGCAAGGATGCGTGTAGGGCGGTAGTGAGAGGGACCTTGTGACATATACATAGGATCAATCCCCGACCCCGTTGTTCACCAAAACTTCCATCCTTCCAGAGTGGTCAAATTGCTACCAGATTTCCCTGGGAGGATAGGAGCACTGGCTCGATACATCGGTAGACCACGGTGAGTCATTGTAAAGGCCAAATATGCATTCAATCACCTCCAACGATGGTTAATGAGGTTGAATGTATGGCGCATCCCTCAGGAATTGATCAAGCCGAGAGCTTTACTCTTTTTTATTCTTTTATTTAAGAATGTTCAAAAAGTACTTTCTAATGCTTCCTACACTTCAAGTAAATCGAGTAGATACTTTGGAATTTCAGTAGAACTAAAGACATAAGCAGGACACTTCGGGTTATTGTGGCTACAGAACACATTTGAAATATACGCTGGCAATTGTTTTAAACAAAACGAATGTCAATTCTTTCTTTTAAAAACATGTTGTTTCAATGAACTCAGTAAAAAAAAAGCAATGGCTTTATTGAAATATTTCATCAGAGCGCTTTAAAAGTTCTCATAGAGTTAGAGTCATCAGCAATAACATGCTTTTACATATCACCTCTGTGGAAAGGTTGACGCGGTAGTGAAAACGTGATACAATGTGGGAATTTAAAAACCAAACAAAAGTTTTAATATGAGGTTAAAAAACTTGGGGAATACTTCCCCTTAACGGTTCATTGCACCATCGCGGCACGGGTGATGCTTATTTCATCAGAGCCCCCGGGTGAACTAAACAGGTAATGAAAGTGTTGGAAAACTCTGCACAACACCATTTTGAGCTCCACTCCGTCATTAACTTAAGAACATTTCCAGTTTACAGATCACAGACTACTTAGACTTAGCACTTACTGAGATGACCCGTCTTGGATGTTTTAGAGATCCCCGCATTTTTTCTGTTCGTTTTCTCATCTCCCAACCATCACTTGTTGAGGTGGTCAGTTTCAGGTATACATTAGGCCGCAGTTTCAGCATCTATGGACATGCCTCATCATTTTCGTGATGAATGTACAAGAGGTGAATTTTCCGGAAAACTTGGGATAACCGAAGAAGTGCGCTTTGAAATTATTCCTGTAGGTAGTTGTGAGTTTATTGCAGCTCGGATTCTTCCATAGTGACAGTGGGTCATGTCAGGGCTGCAAGCCCTGCCGAACGAGCGTTCCAAGGTAATAGAACGAGGTCTTAACGGCTGCATTTGTCCAGAATGCGCTGATATCAAAATGGATCAAGATGGATTTATCACCGAGCAGCTCCTAGTTTTCATTCGCTTCTGCCTTATACATGCACTACCTGGTGTGCCTTCCTCGTTTAATTAACTAACATCATAATACATTTTGCGTGACTTTTGAACATAACTTTGCACCGTCTTCAGCAAGAGGAATCTTATGGGTAATTATTCGTGGTATTAGAGCCGGCTACTCACTAGAGACGACTTCGAACTGCTTCAAAAACATTATTTTAACAAATTTACTTAAGGGTTTTGGTCGAATCGATGTGCAGAATACACTGTGCACATATTCAAGTATACCAATGCTCATGAGCATGAATATATCTGTAATATTTATATCCAATAATACGGAAAGTATCACTCAGTTTCGCAGAGAATAAGAAGAGGGTCTACCACCTCACCATCTATATCTAAGGGCATAATCGTTTTTCCTTCGCATCGTAGTAATATTCGTAGCAAGCTCGTTTTCGCCGTCGGAGTAATATCCTTACTAGGAGAAGGTTGCATGTAGAATAAAGTGACTGCCGAGTATAAGTGCGAAAAACTAAGAAAAGCTCATGGACTCATAGATATACGCCTGCCATATCATCGACATGTATAATACATGGGAACTGGGAAATGGTGGTTGAAAAAGCTCATCGGCACGTCAGAACTGCACTGCCTATGAACAGCCCGACGATTATACTTCGCGAGCACTCTTGTGTTAGTTGTAGTTGCATGAAGTGAGAAGAAGTGATCAAATTTAGTGAAGTAGAAGTTCCTGAGGGGCTAAGGAGGGGGTTACTCGAGTAATAGTGGTGAAAGATGCAGTGCCTCGTCGTGTCAAATATTGAACTTAATTAAGAGTCTAAAAGTTGGGCAGAAATGAGAATATCAAGCAACGCTGATCAAGAAGTGATTTGTGGACGAAGTGAGGTATTCCTAAAATTAGTCTCTTCCAGGGACTTGTCGTTCAACAAGTAGAGGAATGTTATGTTACTTCTTTACCTGACACGATAGCTATTGCGCAGCCCAGAATGTATCAAAAAGAACGCTTGTTTTCCTACGAAACCGCTCTATTTTTTTTTGTTACTCCACTTCATGTCTTCATTTTTAAACAGAACTGAGTTTGCTAGCACTGTTCATACGCACACTCAATTGGGTACCCGTGACCCAGCGGTCATTGCAGCTTCCCCACAAGGCATAAACTTCGCTGATTTCATGTGCTTGTTCATGTATTCACCATTCTGCGTCAACGGTGTGTTAAAGCTTACCACCATTTTCTCTAATCCTTCTACATCCATCGATTGTGCCTTCTATCTTTGCAGGAGTAATGTAAATGCCTATTTACACAATGTAATTGTCAGCCTTCGAGGAGAAATGTGAGCACTGCAGGAGAAAATAGAAGCAATCGTCATCGATCCTCGTAGATGAAAATGTGAATGTTGTCTGCGAAATTAGGAGTGTGATAGTAAAGCTTCAATTAAACCAATATACTTGAAACAGTGAGAGATCATCCAGGAAAAACAGCTTCTCAACAAAGTCAGCCACTGCTTGTAGGTTTTTCTGGACAAAAAAAACGAACTGAGAAGAAAAACTTAGAAAGTATGAAAGCCACTTAAGTGCAGGAGACATCCATTACTACTAAAGAAATCAGAGAGCTCTGAAGGGATACCGTTTTTTATAACTACTAAGTCTGACGAGAATGAAGCTGTGAGGAATAGCCGCCATGGCAATCCTCACTCCTTGGTGTAAAGTACAACTGGAAATCTTTTCCCATTGCCAACTCAGGGGTATAATGAATGTGGAATTCAGGATTATCCAAGAACTCTCAGCTTTATTTCAGCTTTAAAGTAGATTGGTTTTTGACAGGGTATCATCTCGAAATCGCTCTGCCTTGTGGATTAATTTCAGGTTCTATTTCATCCAAATGGGAATGTTTAAAGAAACTTCAATTACGCAGTCTCTCCATATGTTCTTTTCCCAGAAATTTGCTAAACTCGCGAATATACTCTCGAAACAATTCTTTGAAGGAAAACGGAAGGAAACAGTTATTAAGCGTCCTGTTCTCTTCGTTAGCCTCATCGCATTTTTATTTACAAGCCACCAGTCATGTGAACTTAATTGGCACGCTCCTTTTTTCGCATAATCAGATTTTATAACGATGCCCAGCACTGCATGAGGCAATCAGGAAAGGGTGTTTTCTTCACGGGCGAGAGAATTATGACAATGAACTGTAGCATAGCTCGTAATCCGTAGCTTGTTATGTCAGAATATACAAAAAAGAGTTTAAAAAGATGAATAGGCTAAAACATGACCTTGAGGTTTCCATTTTGCAAAAAAGAGCTAACTGTGCCAGAAGCCAAGGGGTTAAGTACCATGAAATTGCCAGCATCTCGATGAAAGGAAGGATCTCACAAAGCCGCAGGCAAGTAAGGGAGCGTCACCATTCCTCCACAAGGTTGCTTTCTGTTCATAACTCTTTTTCGTAATAAAATATCCAGGAAAACACGGAAAAGTAGAATTAGATACATCTGTGTAAGAAATGAAATCGCTGATGTTCGAGGTCTCAGCAACACCTATGATTTTCTTGAATCCCGATCATTTCTCAGTTTCTACCTAAACCAGGAAATAGAGGGTTGTATATCGTTGACTACGCTCCAATATCGCTATCGAGACAGCGAGTGTTGGTCAAGCTTAAACCCACTTCAAGTGGAACGCGAATTTTTAACGATGCTCGTTACTTAACGAGAATGCTGAACAGCGAAAAACCGTTTCCACGCAACACAACTGCAATTCGATTTTTTTGATTCCAGCGCTTTCGAAGGCTCTAAAATCATATCGTTTTGCTAGAAATACCGTAGCGCTAGCTCTCCGATTGCTTAACGGTTGTCGGTAAGATTTCAATGGAATTTTAACAAGAAGTTCGTAAGTTGCTTATACTCTGGGTGTAGGCTGTGAACAATGAAACCACCGAGTAAAACCAAACGCTATCAAATTTTCTATGTGGAAATGTTTTGTAGGAGATAACAGTCGGCACTTGTGTATAACGTGAATCATGCTCGATGTCCCTTTTTCTAGCTGATAACCGAGATAGCAGAATGGTATTTTGCTCCAATTTATCTAGCAACTAGAATGCTGTCGCAAAGTATCCAAATCTTTCTTATGTCCTTTATGGAACCAATACTATTCAAAAGCGCGGTTTTAGCGCAATGAGAAGAAAGTAAGGCGCTAATTGCTTTCCAGCGCTTCCGGTTGAAAAAGTGTTTGTGAAAAAGCAGCACTTCAAGGAACACCGAGACATTTTAAAAATGAAGCCTAAGTGTCAGCTGAGTGCTTTGGCCCATCAGCTGCACTTTTTCGCAAGTTCTTCTTCCATATTCGTTCATTTTCTTGGCCTTGGCTGCTGATTAATAGGCTCTGAAACCGGATATGAATATTTGCGTTCGGAATTCATTACGGTCGCTTTATATTCTTGACATGCGGTAGCAAATCACGTCATTCTGCTTTCTTTCATAAAAGTATCTGCATGGGAAGAGGCAGTTGTGGGCGACAGATTCTCCTTAGAATTTTGATCCTGTACTTCACACCATTCCTTTCTTTACTTGTGTCTTCATCGACATTTAGTTTGTAGGAAAAGATGGAATTTCGATCCCTTCCACATCTCCACTTCTTTGTTTTTTTGGAATCTTCTATTTCGCTTGAATAATCATTGTTAACGTTTATAGCATTCTTCTTGAGGAATGGCATCTGCGATGAAATTCTACTACTACTCAAAAAATCCGCTGCAGAAAACGTTGTCAACAAACATGTGGGTTTCCTGCATTGATAAATGAAAAGAACCATCTGTTATCTATTATCAAACTATCCTTCGAATATTTGAAGAGCAACCTCGGACACTCGCCTTGAACAGTTCAAGAGGAAATTTCGACGCAGTGGGTCACTTGGAATTCCGTTTGTTCCCGAAGAGGATATTCGCCAGATATTCGCAGGAAAGGTCGGCCAAAATTCTATATCGCTTAGGACCTTCCGGTCCTGTTCTGGCTTCGTATTGCATAGTTCAAACTGTCCATAAAAATTTTCAAACTCAGAAAATCTAGATTAAATGAAATTCATAAGATTTAAAACTACAAGTCGAACTCAAAACGGTTTCAAGATTGTTTATTCTATTGCTCAGTTGATTTTCGTAGGAAGAAAAGAGTGCTTCCTACATTTACATACAAATTCTATAGACTACAATATTTTGATACCTTCTTTGGTTCATGAGATAGCGCGAGGTTGATAAAGAAATCTATTCGGCTGACGTTTCGACGTCATCGTCTTCATCAGAGCCGATGATTCGAGTCGATGCCCCACAGTTGTTCGTTTTCTCGATGTGGCGCCTTCCTTCGAGTCGGATCTTCTTCAAAGGACCACCGCTCGAATGAGGCAAGCTCACTCGGCAGTACTCTTCTATACGTGCTTGAAGCGCGCATGAAGTTTCCAGTTTTGTCCAAATCTCAGCATCAATGTACAATACATTTAGCAATGACAGTGAGTTCATGAGAAGAAAAGCCTTGCCATAATATCTTGCCATTCACCCTATGAAACAAGTTGAAAAATGTTTAACATCTTTCTTTTTTTGAAGACGTTTGCTGAGTGGCCAACATTTTTCAAGCGCTCGATTACTCCTCCGCACGTAGGGTTTCAACGTACTCATTTTCGTCAAAATGCTCCGGTTGCTCAAAAGAAGACCTGATGGGTGGCAGATGATTTCAAAATGAGCTTCTTCTTCATGTTCTAGGCCAGCAAAAGCGATCGCATCTGATTTTAATCCGATTTTTAATGATGTAAAAATGTTATGGGCGCGTGTGGTATAGTGGTCGAGGGCGCACTGCAACTCACTCAACTCACTTGGAATCGATCTCCGCGCCCATGGCCCACCAAGCTTTCAATCTTTTCGGGGTCGGCAAATTGGTACCAGACTTCTCTGGGAGGATAGCAGCACTGGCTCGATACATCAGTAGGCTACCGCGAGTTAACATGAAGGCCAGATATGCATTCAATCACCTCCAAACGATGCCTAATGAAGTCGAATGCATGGCGCATCCCGCAGGGATAAATCAACACCGAGAGCTTTGTGCTTTTTATAAGAAATATTAAGCCTTTCCAAAATCAATATCCGATTTGCAATTGCATCTTTCTTGTTTATGTTTTGGCAACAGTTTTTCTATCCAATGCTGTATTATATTGGAGTGCTCATTTCGTGCACTTTAGCCAAATATAATTGAATTATAATATAAATGGTGTCTTTGGTAGCTTTTCAAGACTTTTGTTTAGACTAATAAGGTTTGTTCCGAGCTGAGATATGCCACTTTAGGAATAGAGCCTGAGGACGCTAATTTCAGAAAGACATAATAACTTGGCTTGTGTTGACAGTGACAGTGTTTCGCATATTTCAGTGAAGGTAGTCGACCATAGGGAAATGGTATAGCACTTTGCACTTGCAGTAGCACTTCCGCCAAGTACAATTGAATTGTAGTACAAACTATAGTATACCTCTTTAGTGCGGGTATTTTTTGACAGGCGACCTCATAAAGCAAAGCAAGGAAAATGGCCTTCTAAGAAACTACTCTGCTCACTTGTTAAATGTAGTTGAGGCTACACTTTTTATTGGAGAAGATTTAGATTATCATTTTGGCCCTAGCGTTTTTGGAGTGGCCATATATCAAATATGATTCTATACACATGGCTACATATGATCTATACATATGATTCTGACTACGTTTACACTTATTTGTCCCGATCTCGTTACTTAAATAATTGAAGGGTGATGTAATGATCATCGAAGATGAAGCTGGCTTGCCGATATTGACGGTGATCGTGAAATGTCAACGGGCAGCCGACGGTGTATCACAGATGATGGCAAGCCTACCAGTTAGTGGAACATTACATTTTCCGCTTCGAAGAAAGCTTTCATTCGAAATTCCTCTTAGCTTTTTTTTGAAGTGATAAATGGTCTCATTCATCTGTGGTTTCAGTCCAACACCCGCATCAAACACATGGAAACACGAGATTCGCAAGATGATTCCGCAATTTATATGGACGTTCTTGTCGAATTGGAACTGGAGCTTGGTACGAGTGCAGAGGATGCCATCGCAGCTATGAAGCAGAAGGACCTACAGGTGTTCATAACATTTTTGTGGAAATACTATTTAACTCTTATTTACCGCCTGTTTCTTTAACGTCAGGGTATTACGTGAAATACAACCACAATGGTGTTAAAATACACTACTTATAGCACCGTTGAGCTAATTTTTTATCCTAATGGTGCCATCAGCAATCACCCATCAACGGGAGTGATCTGAGGAGCAAAATCGGTATTGAACCTGGTTAAGCTGAGGCTTCAGTCGAAATCACAATTTCATTTGCTGCCTATTAATGGGATGAGATGAAAGCGAAGCAAGGGCCTCACTGGTGCAGAGGGTAAAACGCGAGCCTCGGAAAAGATAATGGCGGGTTCGAATATATAAATAGTTTGAACAACAACTCGTATCTATGTGAGTTCGTAATCATTTGAACACCAATACTTGCCGAAGCGCAGAAAGATTTTTATCTTTGTTGCATGCTTCCTTAGGCCATCTTTATGCGAGCTCCAGCATCTTCTCACTCCTTTCCAGCAACGCATCCTGACTCATTCATATGAGTTTCTCCGTTAACCCTTCCGCGAACATGCGCATTGATTTCAATAGATACGCCGCTGTACGTTTTCGAAAGTACCCCTTGAATTCAATGCGCATTTCAATTTCGCTCCAAATACACGTGGTCAAATAACCCTGCCATGCGAAAATAGTCGCAGTCGTAAAAGAGTTGAACCTTTTAAATTGTAACAACTACTAAGTGCACGGCGTTGACCAAAATTGCTTGTCTTTCAATGTTTTCACGCAGATACATTCAAAACATCTTTATGACCTTTTGTAGTCAATCGATTGGTTATTGAACACAGATGCTGGGGCTGTTCCATGGATTGGTATTCTGGCTATGCATCCAAAAAGCCATTTTGGAAGGTGAGGTTGAACAGGTGGTTGTAGAAACATGAATGAGACACATAAATACACCCCGTGTATCATAGAAAACCATGCAGAAGGCTAATAACATCATAGTTAGATAAACGGCCAATTTTTTAAATCACATACAGGAGGTGTCCGAGAACATGGGAACAAGCACATAAGAACATAGCGGATATTTAGAAGTTATAGAGATATGAAAAATATGAGAAGCAAAGCAACCGGTAATAGAAGATAACCTTAATAAAGCAGTGCATCATGCCTTTGGACGGACTCATGGGCCATACATTTCAATGCACGTTCTGATTGGTGTTCCAATAACACGCGGTCCGGCAAGTCCAACACTCGAAAATGGCCTCGATGGCGACTGGACTAACGATAGGTAGCCAGGCAAAGGGGTCCAAACGTGTTTTTTTTCTACACAAACCTCGCTACGCGTTTTTCTTACTTTCACTGGACCTTCATTTCTATTTGCTCGTAATGGTGCTCAAGGTTTTCTTTCGAATTCCACTTTCTTCCAGTATATGGCTATGTGTTCATGCCCATTCCTTCCCTGCTTTCCATTTTACAGAGCTTCCTCAGCATCGGTACCAAAGTTTAATAGAAATCTGCTGGCATTGTGCATTTTATTGCCATCCTAATTTTATTGGCCTCGCCATTAACTGTACTGTTGGGGTAGGCAACTTCACCGGCTATAAAAGAGTGGTGTTTCCGTCTAGGAGAGTAGTTTGGTAATGTTCTTATGCGAGAGTGGGATCTAGTCATAGATCGACAAATGTTGTTACGGTGGGCTTTACTTCGATTATCTCGAAAGGTTTTTTCGTGGTTGGCGAACGTTAAAGAAGTAGGTAAGCAAAACTCTCGACAGATTTCTAGAACACTAGCTGTCTTTTTAAAGCGAAATAAAACGATAGATAAACGGTAAGTGTAAGACAGTGTGCGAAAACTAAGCTAATTGAGCAACTCGCAACAAGAAAGGGTCTTGGAGATGAATGCTAAACGTGCTACTTCGGTGCGACTTGGAATCATATGTCTTCGGTACTGCAAAGTGGCCTTGCTAATTCGTTCATTTGTTCCCAGCTCATCTGAGTGATCACTCGAACGCCACTGCAAATCAAAGAGTGGTTTGTCGCTTTAGGAGCAGTTGTTTTGTAGGAGGACAGGAAAATTTCACCTTGAAAACCGAAAGACGACTGGCTAGTAGATTTGATGAACAAAGTAGCATTTGAAATAATTATCACTTTATGTAGCAGAATGAGGGATATTTTCTTCAACAATTTTTTGTTCCATAAATGTTCTGTGAACAGTTGCATGTTAACTCGAAAGACCTGCTTTCTATGAACCTCGGCATAGATAGTTGATATATTTATTTATGTGATCTTATAAACTGATCTTCTTAAGCTGACGCGAGGTTGGTACAGATCTTCGTTGTCGTTGTCGTTGTTTTTGATGTTATTGAACGATGGCTGACGTTTCGTCGACTTCGCCTTCCTCAGAGCCGTGATGTTACGTGCGGGACTCATGTTATGCTTTCAGTTCTATGAAGTATCGTTCACGATGAAACCGCCAGTTATCGAAAAATTTATGGAACCAGGAACGAACGGTACGTTTATTACGGATCATGTGCTTGAACTGTCGCGAAACTACCAATGAACAGCCTCTTTTCTCATTAGCATTTGAGGTTTAATGATGACAATCCAGCAACTCCCACGACCGACTTTCTATTAACCTCGGCAAACGCGAGGTGTTATTTAATCCTTTATTCACGTACAAGCTAACGCTTCGGTGGATTTCGTCTTCCTCAGAGCCTGGAAGGGTCAAGTTGACAGCAATCTATTCGACCAAACACCTCAATAACCAAACAAATAAAACGGTAAACCAAGATTTTAATCACTTTGAACACATCTTTGCACACACATCTCACCGCCTTCTATGAGGTTTCCACTGAGTATGTCGCGTGAAGACCAACTGCACAAAATTCACATGGAAGCGTAATATGCCCCTCCCATCAGAATAACAGGTTTATATACTGACCAATATCACGCGTGATAATGAGGCATCCTTTCCTGCGGTTCATTTTCGGATTTCTGGAATCAATCCAGAATGCCTCGAGAGTTTTGCGCGCTTGTGTTCTCGATTCTTGTGCAAGGATCGTGACACGTACTTCAAAGTCCTTCCCGTTATGTATCTGGGTCCTATGCGTGACTAGTCGAGTATTTGGTTTACGACTAGGTGTTCTTTTATGCGGACACAAAGTGGTCTACCCGTTTCGCCAATGTTTTCGTCTCCTCACGCCTTACGTGAGATCAGATAAACTGTACCCGAGCTCACGCAATCACCGCCTTTGCCGTTGGGGCAAAAACAAAAAAAAAACAGCGCCCTGTTCGAAAAGGCAAACATAAACCAAATACCCCGCTAGGCACGCATAGGACCCAGAGACATAACGGGAAAGACTTTGAGATACGTGACACGATCCTCGCACAGGAATAGAGAACACAAGCGCGCAAAACTCTCGAGGCATTCTGTATTGATTCCAGAAATCCGAAAATGAACCGCAGGAAAGGATGCCTCATTATCACGCGTGATATTGGTCAGTATATAAACCTGTTATTCTGATGGGAGGGGCATATTACGCTTCCATGTGAGTTCGATGCGGTTGGTCTTCACGCGACATACTCAGTGGAAGCCTCATATAAAGCGGTGAGTGTGCGAAGCTGTGTTCAATGTGATTGAAATCTTGGTTTAGCGGTTTTTTTTCTCTTTGTTTGGTTATGGAGGTGTTTGACGGGATAGATTGCTGTCAACCTGACCTTTCCAGGCTGAGGAAGGCGAAATTAGCCGAAACGTCAGCTTGTACGTGAATAAAGAATAAAATAACACCTCGCGTTTGCTCAACAAGAATATGAAGATAGTCCAGCAGTCTGGCTTTACATTCGTTTACAACGTTTTACACCACACAGGAATCTCCCTCTTTGCACGTGCTTCCATGGAGACCCGATTTAGAGCATGGGCTCCAGTTCCTGAATCGAATTTGTTCATAGCTCTACATAGATGTATTCATGCATGGGGTGAGTGTGCTTGTGTACACCTGAAATTTGAAATGTGAATGGATTCCGCCAAAGAAAATGAGCGCGGAAATACATGTGTAAGGTTCGCTTTCAACAGTATCACGCGCTCGATCACAGCAAGATTTCTACAAACATGGTCGTCAGGCTCCACAATGAAGCTAACAACTTTGCCACGAGTATTCTCATTTCGCTTTTGCTGGGTAAGCCACTCTAACATTGGTATCTTCCTTACAGTACAAGCTGATAGTGGAGGTTAGAAGGCCTTATAGAGAGAATGTTAGAGTGGATAAGACGAGAAGACGCTAAGCATTAAACGACATTACTATGACGGAGGAGAAATGTTTTTAGGAACATGCACAAAATGACATGAAACGTCGTTAGCTCTGAATGGTTCTCGCCACTTCAAGCTAACACGATAATGAGATGATATGAGCATAGAGATCCTACAGGAATTTGGAGAAGTTCAACAGGAGGGAGAGTAACGTTTAACAGAGTTTTCATTGCGGCAAATTCGGCGACACAATTGTGCCCAAAAGAGGAGTGTACTGCTGCCTACAGAGGGAAAGTTATTAACAAAATGAGAATTTGCCATGAGTTTAACATAAAAACCAGAAGTGGAACAGAATTCCAAAAGAATTCCTCTGCAGGGTACCATAATTGTCAATCTTTGCCACGTCGTTGTAAAAGGTGTAAGAAGAGGCAACAACAGGAGACTAGGAGCTCTTGCTCGTTCTGATTGCTGTCTTCCGTTTTCAAGGCCCTAAATGGAGACATCCCTAATAGTGAAGGCAGTAAGTTAAAAGATAGATAGCCGTGTGAGATAGAAAAGCTCCAATATAAATTCGAAATAATGGGTCATATTCAGGGGCAATGAAACTCCTTATGCTATCACAGGTAGATGGTGCCAAATCGGATGTAAATGTTTTAACTCACTGTGGAATGAAGTGATCGTGGAAGCGTAGGAAATCCCCGTTCTTAATACTCAAAGGTTCTGCATACGTATTAGAAGTTTCGCAACCAGATGCTCAACATAGCAACACTAGGAAAGGTTTCACAAATAGCAGTTATGCTATTTCCATGCCCCAAAAGAATTCAAGAGCTGGAACATTAAGACCAAGAGGAAATGTGCTGTGTTCGTCGACCTGGTTCACATTTCAGGTTCACTTAGTATAGTTTTTCTATCTTTGCCTTGACATTACTAATGATCAACCTAGCATCGTTCTCCTTTTCTTTAATTTGTGCTTCATCGGACGTTTTTAGTTCGATGAGAACTGGAAAAACGCAATTACAACAGCAGTGTTAACATGGGATTTCAAAAATAGAGCTTCTTCAGATGCAATAACAGGATGTCAGTGGTTTCCTAAGACAATCTACGATCTGGACATTTGCGCGAAAAGAGTGATCATGTATGGGGCTGGTCTAGATGCAGATCATCCGGTAATGCTTTTAAGATATTCTGTACAAATTGTCATCAACCGTTACGTGGAGATTTGGTGCTTTAAGGAGGAGCGTTTCCTACGCTAAAGATATCAATACTTATGCTTTAGGGTTTCAAAGACATCGAGTATCGTAAACGACGACTTTTGTTCGCCGATATAGCGATGAACTACAAACAGTAAATTTCTTTTGACGACATTCTTAATGAAATTCTAGGTAAATCCCGCCTTTGTAATAAATGATAAGTTTCAGTGGAGAGGCAATTCCTCGTATTGAGTACATCGAAAGTGAAAGGAAAACGTGGGGAGTTATATACCGGAAACTAAAAGAATTACACAAAAAGTAAGTTTTTCAAACGAGTCTCTTGACATTGAAGAGCAAGATGTGAGCGCTGAAAAATGCAGATACGCCTGCCAGGAGTTTCTCGACAATTTCGCGCTTCTTGAAAAGCACTGTGGATACTCGGAACACAACATTCCTCAACTTGAAGACATTTGTCGTTTCCTTAAAGGTTCGCGTCTTAGCATTAATTTCAATACTACTTTATGAAAATTCTCATCCGAGGCCAAAACTCGGGTTTTCATGTATGCTAGATTCTTGTCTCAATCCAACCTTGCGACAGTTATCCAACAAGCTGCTTCAAATGGCGTAATTGAAATATTCAATCTGAACATAGGATGGAATTCTATTCTTGAATGTGGAATTTACAGGTGCAAAATAGTGTAGTAAGAACACTAGAGAGTGTCGTTCGTCTTTTATTGTAGCAAAGACCGGGTTCCGAGTTCGACCGGTGGCCGGCTATCTATCGGCGCGCGACTTTCTGGCAGGCCTCGCGTACCGTGTCTTCTTTTGCACACAGTATATGAGACATCATGCCGATCCTCTCTACACTCCAGAACCGTAAGATCTTTAATATCTTTTTGAAATAATCCTGTAATAATCGTATTGCCACTGATTACTGTCTGTCATATTTCATCAACTACAGGCTACGGCTTTCAGGATAGGGTGTTTTGGTTGGCGGACATATCCAGCCTATGTGACTCCCCAGTACCTACTTTTTTAAACTCACTTCACGTTTTCCTTCTTTTTCCGGTTTTCTATACAAATAATCAATTGTGTGAAGAACACGATTTATGGCATTTATGGTTTGCATATTCCTTATTCTCCTTCATGCTTTGGTCTATTATCAAAACATCTTCTCATTTGGTCGAATCCACATCTCATTACTGCGGATTTTTTATCCTGAAGTGTTGCCACTGAGACAGCAGCCGGCCTTGACCGATCAAGAAGAGGAAGCACAGAGCGCCAACTAAGTTTTATGTAAAATTTTGCCATAAAATACCCTTTAGTCACAGTAATGACGATTACAGAGACACAGTGCATGAGCTTATGGGTCACATGGCACTGTTCGCCGATCCAGACTTTGCGCAGTTCTCGCAGGAAATTGGCCTGGCCTCTCTCGGTGCCAGTGACGATGATCTCCAGAAACTCGCCACGGTGTGTTAATCAGGATATCTCTCCGATTTTTCTTACACATTCGAGAAATAGTAAATGAGGAATTCTGGGCAGGAGGACTTTTGAATTCGATTTGTTTGAAGTTCCTTATTGCAGCTGGATTACATCATAAAGAAACTATATTCTTAATATTATTATTATTTCATCTTTTTACTATTTTTCTATTGTCTATTATTCTATTATTACTGTTTTAATATTTGCTACTAGTTTCTAATATATTCTATTACTTTACCCTATCATCACAACGGTTTATCACCTCAACGTATCTGGCAGGTGTTCCTGGGTATCGGACTGCGATGTACAGCTGAAGATCCATCTCATCGGCAAGTTCTCCCAAACCGAGAGGGAGGTTTTCCATCAAGAAGCCTAGCTAAGGGTAAACCAATACCAGGATCGACCGACCACTGTGGTAGCAAGCTAGTCACGTGGTGGCACATCTCTTTCTGATCCACAAGGGCGGAGACTGCCTGTGGTGGTGTCGACCTGGGAAGACTTTGGCCTGGCTAACCTTGGGACTCCAGCGAGCCACGATGGCTAAGCCAGCAACACCCCGAAAAATGGAGATTATGCTGGGGACCGCACAAATAGTAAGGACGGGCCGTACAAGTATCCAAGTAAGTGAGTATTTCCTACTATTGTCTATTTTTTCAATTATTTCATTGTTCTTTCGTTACTTTTTCTTCAACCACTATTTTTCTAAAATACTGAAGCTTTTTTTGAAGAATCAAGTTAAAAACCACATCACCTACATTGAATCTGATGTGATTACGATGTTTCCGACCACGTACGGAAAACACAATTAACACGGAACTTTCAGCTTTACTTTTTTTCTATCGAATTCGGTCTCTCCTACGACGGACCAAGTGACTTATCAAACAAAGAGAACCACTCCACTTCCTCCGTCAAGTACAAAGTCTACGGAGCAGGTCTCTTGAGTAGTGCTGGAGAGCTGCAGGTTTGCATTTGGGCCTTTCTCTTATTTTGCTGAAGTTTTTTAAGGTTTTTATTCGTTTGTACAAAGTAATATAAAAATTGAATAGACCAAATTACTGCGTTGGGGAAATCCATCTTATTGCAGAGCCAGAAAGCGGCAAATAAAAGCGTTCCTTTCAAGTTTGACAGACTATATCGGCTCGAAACGCTCCACGAATTTTAGTGCACTATGTTCTCCAAAAAACTGCTTTGCCTCAATTATCGTTCATTCAGCATGCCGTCGAGGATTCACCAACAATCCTTCGCTTTGATCCAGATCGTGTAGTTCAGCAAGAGTGTCTTATAACAACTTTCCAGGATGCCTACTTCTATACGAGAAATTTTGAGGAAGCGCAGCTGAAACTCAGGTATTCGTTGGCTTTTTCATGAGCAAAAGTTCATTTTGCTCTGAAGAGAATCTAAATAAATAGCGTTACGAGAACTTATTTTCCTTCAAGATCGGTATGACTAATCAACATGTGGTTAACGAGGTTATACGAGGTTGTTATACAACTTTTATTCGGCTAACGTCTCGACGTCTTCGTCTTCATCAAAGCCGATGGTCCCAGTCGATGGGCCTCAGATTTTCGCTTTCTCGATATGACATCCTCCCCTTCGTATTGAGTCGAATCTTCCTCAGTGGAGCATCTCTCGCATGAGGCATTGTCACTCAGCGACGCTCTCTTATACAGGATGCTTGGCGATTGTCCGTTCATAACAACTTTTCCAGGACAATTCATTCCGCAGAAGCTATCAGCTAGCATAGAGCGTAATAATAATCTTAACCCTTTCATTTACTGCCTACTGTTTTTGATCGCTTTGTATATTGCGAAATATAACCTCTATAATGCTGAGCTGTTTGCAAAAATCCGGACCGCAGGTGTCTGCGGTCGGGAACGAACGCGCTATTGTCATTTCCGGGGAGTAAGGCGTTCACCACCACACCATGCGGATTTCGCCTGTCTCTCAGATAGTTAAGCTACGTGACAGTAATATTTCGAAAACTGACTTTCTTTTAATCTTGGTCAGATTAGTCGTTGATTATTTTTGAAATATTATTAATGCGCCTTGTGCTAGCTGATATTATCACCGACTTCTGCAGGATGGATTGTCGGGAAAAACAAGTTGTTATCACTGGACAATCACTATTGTCAACAACCAAAATCCTGTATAAAAAAGCGTTGTCGGACGACGATGCCGCATCAGAGAGATGCTCAACTAAGAAATATCCGACTCAATGCGAAGACGAACACGTCACATGGAGAAGACGAAAATCTGCGGGCCATTTACTCGGAGCGTCGCTGTGGTGAAGACGAAGACGTCGAAACGTTAGCCAAATAGAAGTTGTATAACAAACTCGTCTAAGCTAAACAATTTTAACACATGTCAAATAATTAGTATTTATACTAGAACCACTTCTTATGAAAGAAAAGTGAGAATTTTCAAGCCGACTGTCATTTAAACTCTGCAGTAAAATAATCAAAATAGACGAAAACATGAATGTTTAACGGGTTACAGAAGTGATACAGGTAATACAGGTCCTCTTCGTAAGGGAACCATTTAATATCATTTCTTTTCACTTATCTACAAGCGCTTGAGAAGCATATAGAAATCAATCGTAATGATGCCGAGATGTTTGAAAGACTCTGGACCGCAGGTGCTTGACGTGGGGATCGAATACATTATTACCTTTTATGGGAGCAAGCGGATTCACCACTACACCATGTACGCCCTTCGTTTCGCCTTTCTGTCAGGTAGTTTTCTGTCTACCAGCGCCATTAGCAATTATACGTCAACGAGATTGATCTGGAGATCAGAAATTGGCATTGAGTCCATTTATGATGGAGCTCTAGTCGAAATCACAATACTAACATTTTTATTTACTGCCTAGTACAATTTTTCGCGGCAAGGTGTCATTTGAAATACATAATGATTGTGATTCACCTGAAAACTCCGGCCTTCGGGTATCTGCGTCGGGGATGAAATACGCTATTACCATTTCTGAGCCCGAACTCGACCACCACCACACCATGAGGATCTTTCGTTTCCCCTTTCTCTCAACTAGTTTTTTATCTACCAGTGCCGTCAGCAAAAAGGCAAAACGAAGGACCCGCGTGGTTTGGTGTTGAACCCATTAGGCCTCGGAAGGGATAATAGCGGGTCCCCGCAGCGCGAACCTCTGGCACAGAGTTTTGCAAATTTCTAGGCATCATTGTGCTTTTATTTCATGTAATACGCTACCGTAAAAAATTGTTGCAGCTAGTAAATAAAAGATTTAGCATTAGAAACCAAACGTAAAGACCATCGTGGCAGCCAGTATAACATCGATTTCGGTAGAACGCGTAACACCAAAAAAAGCAGGTTATATTGGAAGGCGGCCATAGCCGTCTTCTATAAAGGCTCACCGCCAAGTGAGGTTCCTTATTCGAGCGGTGCTCTACTCCAGAAGATTCTACTGGGTACCTCAACGAACACCTATATCGCAAGAACGAGCAGTTGTGGTCTGTCGAATCGGAGCAATCCTGCATTGTTGGGGCCGAAGACGTCAAAACACTAGCCAAAATAAGTGTCGCTATAAACTTCATGTAAGTTCAACAGGAAGAGCGAGATATAGGAATTGCTGCGCATGTACAAATTTTGATTGGTGCGCTGTTAATTGCATGGTGCCATCAAGAAAAACGCCCACATGGAATATAAGTTTCCATACAATATTGTTTTTCGCTTTTTATTATTCTTTGTTACTATTTGTCGTTATTCTTTCTATTCTCATCACTGATAAAATTAGCGGAACCGAGACTTCTAACATCATCAGCTGGGACTTTTCATAAAGGGATCTTGGCTCGATGTGTTGATGGACCCATTGGAACCACAAGTACTGAATAACAACCTAGTTCCATAAAGTCGTATAGAGAAGTGATAACACCATTTCAATGCGCACCGATTATACAGAACATGGTGCAAGGCTGGAGGTCACAGTAGAAGAAACAACATGCTGCCGCAGCTTTCACGTCGTAGGAAAAAACACGGACTGTAATGGCTACGGAAGTCGGCACTACGGTCACGGCAACTCTTAGCTCCAATTATACAGCTCATTCCCTACTCCGCAATGCTGTAATAGCTATGAACTATCAAGGATGGTGTAACTAATCAGAAATTAACATCACAGAAAAGGAGTACAAAAGGGAATAGATAAATTGCTTCAAAGCGATGTTTTAATAAAGCTAGGCTAAATCTGCGTCAGTACTTTCCTAGAGATGATTAAACGCTTTCGCATCTCTAAAATCCGGCTTTGATTTAACCTCGGCATAATTATCAGCGTCTTGGATTGTTGAACAAGCACGAAGTTGGCAATTAGTTTTATTCGGCCAACGTTTCCACGTTTTCATCCTCTTCAGTGCTAGATTGTCGCAAGCGACGATCCACAGCAACTCGTTCTCGCGATACAGGTGTTCATAGCAGCATCGGGCCGAATCTTCTGGAATAGGGTACCGCTGGAATGAGGAATCTCACTTACTGGGGTGCTTTTATAGAGGACGGCTATCGCCACTTTCTGATATTATCTTTCTTGGCTGCAATGTATCTATTGGAATTCGTGGAATTATTGGTTATATTGGGTGGCACGATCGCTCTTGTGATTGATTTTTAAACACCTCTCAAATGCTTGCAGGTGAACAGAAAGGAAATGATGTTAGGTGGTTTACTTAGGAAGAGGACCTGTATTATCTGTATCACTTCTGTAGCTCGGTCAAATATCCAGTACCTTGAGCGTGTATTAACGAAATCGTTCGCCTCGTCAACTACATAATCTTTTATATATTTATATGATCTTATAAACTAATCTGGTTGAGGCGATGCGAGGTTGGTATAGGTCTTCGCAGTCGTTGTTGTTGTTGTCGTTGCTGTTGGTGTTATTGGTCGATGGCTGACGTCTCGGCGATTTCGTCTTCCTCAGAGCCTAGATGTATTTTATGTAACAGTAGTCTTATATTCCGTGAAACATTATAGTATTAATGAAGATCAAACTTCCAAATAAACGCCACCAAAATTGATCAAAAAGGCTACTCACCGTGCTGTTACGAGTGGGACTGCCCGCGTGTTGTTCACGTGGGACGGCGAACGAGACCCACCCAGGGGTCAAAATATCATTTTGGAATAAGGTGCCAAGTCACGTGTGATAATGAGGCATTCGTCTTTCCGATTCATCTTGGGTTTTTGAAATTTGCCCAAAACGTCTCGAGAGTCTTGTGCGTTGTTTTTGGTTCCTGCGCTAGGATCCGAACAGTCACTTCATAATCATCGCCTTTGTGCTTTTGTTCCCTATGTGTAACTCGAGGAGTGCTTTGACGAATTTTAACTTTCCCATCTAAGTGTTCTTTTATGCGGGCACAAAGCGGTCTTCATAGTCTTAGTATGCTCCGCTCTCTAAAGGACACGAGGAGCTTCACTTTCCGACGTAATGTTCTTCATTCCTACTGTAGAATGTAGTTTTGCATAGCCACTCGATCACAGTGCGATATCAAGGAATAATTCCCTCAATATTTGCCATGACTCAGAATCCCACTCGGATGGATGTCAAAATATCACGGTAAGTGTATGGCGGTTACCGAATTTCTCTAGGAAAAAAGGAGCAAGAATGCCTTGTGACTATGGAAATGAAAACAGTATAATCTGCTTTAGAATGAAATTATAAAGGCAGCAAAGAAATGCAAAAAAAAACGAAACAACGAGCAGTGCTGGCAAGTTACTCAGTCGTCCTCGTGGGAAATTTGATAATTGCTAAAATTTTGCAATAGGTTCCCATATAAAATTCTGGCGCAGTGGTCGGAGGAACCCTGCAACACTCACAATGAATCGATCTCGACTCCATGGCTCATCAAGCCTTCCAACCCTCTGCGGTCGGCAAATTGCTACCACACTTCTCTGGCAGGAAAGCAGCACTGGCTCGATACATTAAGATATACGATATAAAGGCCAGATATGCATTCAGTCGTCTCCAACGATGCTTAGTGAAGTCGAATGCATGGCGCATCCGTCACGGATTGATCAACGCCGAGAGGTCTATCCTTTGCCCATTTAAACAACCACGATTTGTTTCTTCAAAGCTTTTTAATGTTTCATTACGACAAGACCTGATATAACATGTATTACATTGTGCGGATCCAAGCACTTTTTACATTCGATTCATTCACCTCCTTCTATTCGCTGTTCACCACGGCTTTCGAACTTCTTGCTTGTGACTTCGGGTGCCGTTTGAGGAATTTTTTTAAATCTTCGTCACGAATCTCGTTGAAGGCTGGTCAAGTGGATACTTTCTGGAATCCCGAAATAGCCGTGCTGGGACGTTCCCTCGTGGAGTGGAGAGAGTCAATTTATCCTAGAATAGTCTGGTAGCAATTTCGTTATCCCGGAGTGATTAAAGGCTTGGTTCGCACGCTGCCGCATCTAGCGAGCCCTGCGAAGGCTGAGCCGTCCGCTTGAGGAGCAGGATCACGATCGCAATTCCGCCCGCTCCTTAAAGCTTTTATAGCCAGTGGGTAATAAATAATGTAGAATGGAAGTAGTTAGACGTGAATTATTAAATGTTTTTTTAAATAAGATATCAGTTAACCGATTTTTCTACGAATAAAACCAAACTCAGTGAGCAATGTTTTAGAATGTTCACGAGCAGCATGAAGCGCCCGTTTGTTGTTCGCTACAATCCCTACACCGAAAGTGTGGAGGTGAGTGGGACGAGCACAGAAATATAAGTGGTTTCATTCAGAAAGAAAATCACTTGTGATACAAGTGGCTTTGAAAGAGAAAGATGTATTTTGACGACATTCGTTTTAATTTCTATAGTGCTGAGGTATTTGCAAAACTCCGGACCGCAAGTGTCTGCGGTGAAGAACGAACGCGCTATTGTCCTTTTCGGGAAGTAAAGCGTTCACCACCACACCATGCCAGTCCTTCGTTCCGCCTGTCTCTCAGCTAGTTCTATCGATCTTTTGCCATCAGCAATCACCCGTCAGCGGGGAGCCCAAATCGGCATTGAACCCAGTTAAGCTGAGGCTATAGTTATAATCACAATCTTAACCGTAAGCGTTACTTCCCGGAAAGGACAATAGCGCGTTCGTTCCCCACCGCAGACACCTGCAGTCCGGAGTTTTGCAAATATCTCAGTATTCTAAAAGTTATATTTCGCAACATACTCTGCCATTAAAAGAAAGAGGCAGTAAATAAAAAGGTTAAGATATGTTATAATCTTATTTTAACACCTCCAAATATGGGGCTGTTGTTGCGAGTACTGCTATATTGCTAAGAAAACAGTATCGACTGTTTATTTCTCCCAAGTGTACTACACCTTATTATGCTTAACAAGTATCGCAGAAACCGACACAACACGGTGACATTCACTAAAGACACTAGACAAGAAGTAAACTCTTCCAATTAATCATCTGCGGTTACTGAAGTTGCTATTGTTAGGACGACTTGTTACTTTTCGGACGAAAGCTGAATGCTACTACATTTCGATGAAGCGCTCCAAGAAACTCCGATCATAACGTTCCCTTTCTTTACTCACATGAACACCACTGCAATTGTTCCAAAAAACCTGAAGGACAATGGAGAGTAAATTCCATTACCTATTTCTAATGGTCATAACAATGAAACAGCACGAAACACCGGCTACTGGAGGGCTTTTGGCAGTTTCTTTTTGCTCACGAATAATGGAAACAGCGATCTTCAAAACTATTGAATGAAAGTGCTTAATGAGTCCTTACGAAGACACTCTTCCACAGGAAACCGAATGTGTCATAGCCGGATACAAATCTTGATTATACAGAAGATCCAAATGACTTGGTGAGACCGACATCGTTAACAGAGTTCACTGGAATTACTACATACTTCTAGTGTTGAAGATTGTACTGAAATAGGCAGAGCACCGAAATGTTGTTGAAATTTCATGGTTATCCTATTCACGTCACCTGTCACTTCTGAACAGTATCTGGGCTGTTTTTTAAAAATTGACACAGGAGCAAGTGAACAATTTGCTTAAGGTAGGCGTAGTTCTTGTGCACCAACCTTGCCATTCTCTCGAGATTTAATCTTCAATTTCCATGCAGACAGACTTTATTCGGTTGGGAATTTTGTTTTTTAACAGAAGTGGTTAAGCGCTAATTGAGAGCTAAAGTCATGCAGTGACGATAAAGGCACGACAAAGACCGGAAGTGTGGTAGAAATTACCAAGAACATTCATTTTTTCCACTATGCTCATAGCAACCCAGTCTGTGAAATGGACGTCCAGTCCGCTGACAGACAAGTGATGCCCAACATGACGGTATTTTAAACACGATTGCGACACATTAGCTTTTCAATTAGACTTAAAATTTACTAACATGTACTGAATTTCGCACTGAATATTTGGTGATTGGACATTTGGATGGCCCGTCTTCACTATTTGTGCGGGCCCTAGCATAGATTCCACTTTTCTTCGAAGTTTGGCTGGTTTAGCTATTATTGTTTCCTGGAGTCCCAAGGTCAGCCAAGCCAAAGTCTGCCCCACGTCGTCACAACGAGTGGCACTCGCAGCCCTTGTGGATCAGAGGGAGATTTGCCACCATGCTATTAGTTTGATACCAGGACGCTAGTGGATCCTGGTACTGGTTTACTCTTAGCTAGGCTTCCTTGTGGAGACGCCGGACTCCTCAGCCTGGGTGTCCTGCTCGGGGAAAGAATGCCCTGCTGTAGTTGGCAGCGCGACACACAGGAACACATGCCAGCCACGATGAGGCGGTTAGCCGCTGGGAGAGAAGTTCAGTTCAGTTCATTCTTAAGGATCTAACGACCTAGTATCATTTTTGCTTTTAGAGACATTAGTGCTGATTTTCCTGTCATAGCATCAACTTCTTGAAAAAGTTTTATGATAAAAATTCTCACCTAGTTTTTTTTTGGAGAGTGTCTTAAACATTCATTCACATTACTAATGACCAAGTACTATGTTGCTGAAATCGAGATATTAAATACTTAGTGATGCTGACATATTTACAAAACTCCGGGCCGCATGTGCCTGCGGTGGGGAACGAAAGCGCTATTACCCTTTCCGGGGGCTAACCCGTTCACCACCACACCGTGCGGGTCCTTCGTTTCGCCTGTCTCTCAGCTAGTTTTCTATCGATCAGTGCGATCAGCAATCATCCGTCAACGGGATTGATCTGGGTTGTCCAAATCGGTGTTGAACCCAGTTAAGCTGAGGCTGTAGTTGAAATTGCAAAGTTAACTTTTTATTTGCTGCCTACCACAATTTTTCAATCAATCCCGTTGGCGAATGATTACTGATGACACTGATCGGTGAAAAAACTAGCTGAGAGACAAACGAAACGAAGCAGGCACGTGGTGTGGTGGTGAACGCATTAACACCTGGAAAGGGTAATAGTTCGTTCGTTTCCCACCACAGACACCTGTGGTCCGGAGTTTTGTAAATACCTCAGCACCACCGTGGTCGTGTTTCGCGTAATACCCTCCTGTGAAAAATTATAGTGGGCAGGAAATAAAAAGTTAACACTATGATCTCAAATAAACTCTTATTAAATCTTCAGTTACTATAAGTAGATAACCTAGGTTCTCATGTCATATGGGTCCTATCACTTCTTGCATTCATTTCGTTCAATTACAGCCATCATCCATGGAGATGGTCGTATTTCACCTTTAGTTTCTGTTGTGGTTTCAGGATTGCATTCTTCTTTAAAGCTGTGAGTACAGCTCATTTGCCAGTCTACCGAACTTAACGGCTCGCGTTTCTTGTTTCCATTGAAGTTGATTTGATTTTCTTGGAATCCAATCTAATGTTATTTTTGTCCATGCGCTGTAATCTCTTCCCATTACGTAATTGGGGGCCGTCCATATTCGTTTACTGAAACTAATACTTCTCGACAATGGGACATTGTCCGATGATCATCTGAACTAGGAAAATGACCACCGTTTTTACTTCAGCGATTTATTTCTCAGAAAACATCGTACTTCTTTTCTGTGCGTTATGCGTAAATTAAGGGCGCGTGTGATACAGTGGTTGGAGGCGCCGCTGTGACACACACGTGGAATCGATCTCCGAGCCCATGGGCCACCAAGACTTTCATCCCTCCGGGGTCGGCAAATTGAGAGGATAGTAGCATTGGCTCGATACATTGTTAGGCCACCACGAGTTATTGTAAAGGCCAGACACGCACTCAATCACCTCCAAACGGTACTTAATGAAGTTGAATGCGTGGCCCATCCGTCAAAAGTTGATCAACGCCGAGAGCTTTAGAGCTTTGAGCTTTAATGCGTAATCCCTTTGATGTGGTTGAAGTAACACACTGTTTTCTTTTATATAGCACATAGTTGAAAGAATTTTTGCGTTGAATGACTGAATGTGTAGTTGAACTTCATCAAGTTCATCGCTAGCCTTCGTTGGAGGCCGGGGCGGGCTCATGCTTCATTTTGTCTGTCACCAAGGGTACCTTTCAATCCATTATCTGTGATCATTGAACGTTTCAGATAGTTACATATGATATCCTCAATCGGCGATCCGTGCTGTATGATCTCTTTTTCACATCAACCGTTCTTCATTAGTTTGAGTTTTTTTTCCGGATGATGTGTACTCCGGCTTTCCATACTTCATTGAGGCCACTAAGCATTGTCTTTGCCTCTCAATACTTCTCGAAAAGAGTACAATGTTGTTGGCGAAGCAAAGGTTAGAGAGGAATCATCAACACATATCCCTCTGTTCTCCGGGTCGATTAACTGCGTGCGGGACTGTAACATTGCGAGCATGAGTTATTCATTGATTAACGTGACCACATCTAATACACGTTGCAAGAGAAAATGATAAAAGCTGATATACAAGGAAGAACATCTAGTTAAACTCTTTTATAGAAAGCATCTAAAAGTTCAGGTGTTAAACAACAAGCGTTCGATGATGCTGACCGTAAATTCACTTCGCTCGGATATCAACCTGCTGTCCAGCGCGCTGCACTACATCCTTTGAAGAATGGCTGAATAGTTGTGGATATTCAGACTTGCATTATTTGTGTGAAACCTATAGTGTTCTTTAGTGTTGTCCTCGTATTCAATAACATTCGTTACTATCATTCCTACAAGGTTCTGGCTTTAGTTCTCGCGTTAATATAGGCAAAAATTTCTCCGGCTAGAGAACTTAATTATTTCTGGTAATCCAGGATTAACGCAGGAAAAAAGTACTAAATTTCAAAGACTATCAGTTGGTTATAAAGTGGATTTACCTAAATAATTTTAGAAACACTAGTCGAATACGGCAGCATTATTCTTGTTCACTTGATACGAAGGTTCATAAAAATCTCTTGAAAAATCTCATAACTCTCCTTACATAGCCTTAAAATAAGAAGCGCTTAGGTGTTCTTTTCGGACTTAACAATGGTACTCAAGAGCAGACCTAGCTGAATATCTATGGATGTTTTAAATCGGTGGTATCTGAGAGCGATATGGTTTGTGCTTTGTGATCTGTTGGTCTCGCAGAGAAAGAGTAGATTGCAGTGTTTGATAGTTGTGTATCTCATGTGTCATTTTCCGTATGCATTGTGCGTTTAGTTGACAATAAACATGCTTTGATTAACTTACATTGTTTATATTAGCGGTGATAGCTGGTTCAGCGCCTTGTTTGTTCTTCTGATCCCTCTCCACCACCTCCTCCGTTGTCTATTTCGTGCTTTATGTGATTTTTTCCTTTTAAAATTAACAACCACTGCTTTAACTCCAGTTCTGTCTTTATTAGTTTTAAATATTACTTCTTACTTAGGTGTAAAATTCTATTATACACTTTGTTCAGAGCTTATCTACTTGAACACTTGGATGTCCCGTCCACACTGGTTGTGCGAGCCCCAGTATAATCTCTATTTTTCGGAAATTTGCTGGTTAAGCCATTGTGGTTTCCTGAAATCTTGAGGTCAATCAGGCCAAAGTCTGCTCTGAGTTGTCACCACTACAGCCAGTCGCCCCCTTTACGGTGGTGGATCCTGGTATTAGTTTACTCTTAGTTGGATTTCCTGGTGTAAACGCTGGATTCCTTTCCAGCTTGGGAGACCCTGACAGTGGGATGAATTCCCCGGTGTACATTGCAGCCCGACAGCCGGAACTCCCAGCCGCGATGAGGCGGTAAACCGTTGAGAGGATTGTTCAGAACATTCAGGAAAACTTTACATTGTTGGCAGTTTAATCCCACTTTGTCAACCGGCCATTTTTTCTGCATTTTTCTCTATTTTTACACCTCCATTCTGTATTATTAAGATGGATGGGCATTCAAACGGTTTGTACCAATTCCATCGGTCGAAATTTTCTAAGTTCCCAACATAAACTTGGAACCAGTCGTGAACTGCTCGAGTTATCTTCGAAAGCGTTGTTGTTCAGCCGCCATTACGAACTTTTAAGTGGTTTGTCCGCAAGTACTTCGTACAGATACTTCAGTAAAGTGGGAATTTGATTTCGTTTCCGTTTTTTGCAATCGTTCGATCGCCGCAGTATTTCACGAGCTGAAAGGAAATTCATTAACAATACGAATAATCCGAGAGCATTTGTCTTTTTATTATTTCGAGCCTATCCACAGTAATTTGGCTATAGGAATTCCGTGTTTAGATGTGCACAATATAGTGCGATCCTTGCTCTAAAAAGCTTTCAACGAGCGCATAATCATGTGTGATTGTGTAGTTGATTCAACAAAAACTGTACAAAGGTAACCACAACAATGCTGAGATATTCAAAAAATTTGAACCTCTCGGCAGATCGAACCCCCATGGGTGAAATACGCGAGCCCCTAGAGAGGGCAATCATGGTTCGATCTGGCCCGGGGCCCAAGGTTGGCCATTATCTCTGCAACCTTGTGATTGTATTTCACTTCACGCCCTGCCGTGGAAAATTATGGTAGGCAGCAAATAAAAGGTTGCATTGTACTTGATACTTGCAAACGTATGGTACCTTTCGATCTTCCTTAAATCGTCAATATCTGACAGTTTGTCAACTATCTTGTATTGCAATGTGTGCACCACAGCGGCGTTAAGTGGTATGATGTTTGGAAAATCTTCGCGCTTGTGTCAACAGTAGTTTGTCGGATTCGGTGGGTTCACTGCCTTCGTAGGTTTTGTTGCTCCGTTCAGTAGCAGTTCATTCAATTGATTTAAACATTCTTCATCCATTTCGAACGTGCTTGATAGACCACCATGAACGACTTCATTTGTGTATGTAGGTGTTGACCATTTTAGAAAAATTTTGCTAAAAGCTGTCTCCACGTCTTGTATCTGCGCATAATTGGTTAAGCTTTGAGTCTACGGACATTTCTAACACTGGAAGCTTCTAACCGATATTGTGCATGGCTATTATTTGTACTAAAACCAATATGGTTCATTGTTTGAGAAGCTCGAGTTGTAACAGAATAGGAACTACGAGGCATAGGGCTATCAGATAACCTCGTGCGTAGTTTTCACACTGATATCCAGTTTTTGTTCTAGTCGGAAACACCGACTATGTTAATCATAACAAACAACCAGTGGTTTCAAATTTTTTATATGAATTGCTTTGTATAAAGGATAAAAAGGATGAAACTCTTGGCTTTGATCAATCTCTGAGGGACGCGCCATGCATTCAACTTCATCAAGCATCGCTTGGAGGTGATTGAATGCATATCTGGTCTAAAAAATGACTCGCGGTGGTCTATCGATGTATTGAGTCGGTGCTGCTATCCTCCCAGACAAGTGTGGTACCAATTTGTCCACCGCCCAAAGACGGGCGGCTTCGCGGGCTATGAGCGTAGGAATCGATCCCATGTGTAATCCAGGGCGCCTCCGACCACTGCGCCACACACCGTGTGAAGTGCTTTGTATAGGTTGGCTTATTGTAAGAATATCTATTTAAAATGAATATGCCCTCTTTTCTTCGTTTTTCACGAGCGTCTTTATTTCTGATCTTTCTTGAGAAAGTAGGAGAGCCAAGGAAGGAGGAAGGAGTGGAATGATGTTGTTAATGACAAAGATTATTGATGTTGTTGACAATATATGTAAAAGGAGAGGGTGGGTAAATACTCTTTCCCGTTGAGTGCATGAAACTCTTGGTTTAGTACTTAGCGGAATACAACCACAACGTTACTGAGATATGTACAAAACTCTGGACCGCAGGTGTCTAAGGTGGAGAGCGAACGCGCTATTATCCTTTCCGGAAAGTAACGCGTTCACCACCACACCATGCAGGTCCTTCGTTTTTGCCTGTCTTTCAGCTAGTTCTATCGATCAGCGCCATCAGCATTCACCCGTCAACGGGATTGATCTGGGAAGTCCAAATCGGCATTGAACCCAGTTAAGCTGAGGCTGTAGTTGAAATCACAATGATTTACCTTTTATTTTAAATAAAAGGTAAAACATCTTGGTTTAGTAGTCTTTGGATGCATGAGCAAGCACCTAATAAGACCACATTCCGAACGTGAAATCGTCTTCAGCTTTCTGATAAGGGTAGAAAGATTCGCTATTGCAATAAAGAGTATAGCCGTGAAAGTAAACATGACGCGAAAGCATTAGAACTGAACGCATATCCATGAATATATGAAGATTAGTAAAACTCTCGGCGTTGGTCAATCCTTGAGAGATGCGCCATGCATTCGACTTCATTAAGTATCGTTTCGAGGTGATTGAATGCATACCTAGCCTTCACTATAACTCGTCGTGGCCTACCGATGTATCGAGTCAGTGTTGCCATCCTCCCAGACAAGTCTGTTAGCAATTTACCGAGCCCGGAGGAATGCATGGCTTGGTGGGCCATGGGCACTGGGATCTCCCTTGCGAGTATTGCACAGCGCCTCTAACCACTCCCCCACACCCACAACTTGTAAAAATTGGTGTATCTATTCATCTATATACATATATATATATGCTTGCTACATATATATGTATGTATGTCTATATATAGTATTCATATGTATGGCGAAAGAATTAGAAGGTCATTGAGCTTTACAGTTCTATGAATGCTTATCCTTTTTGCAGTTTAGGATATAAAACTAGCTGTAAGAGTTCGACAACATTTTAATTTTTTTCGTAGTAAGTTTCCAACACTTATTTTGAAATGGCATATTTTTACAGTTTAATACGTAAAACGATATAACAAGGGAAACTACGGTAACTGCTACAATACTTTTCCAATGTTTTCTGGGTAATCTTGTCGAAATTCGACCAACTTGCTAGTTAACTGTCGAGTTTGGCTTGGTTTTTTACCTCGAGATGCTTTGAATCCACCATGAATGTTTATGAAACCTTAAATAGAAAGTGAGAACACCGATATTTCGTTATTGCAAAAGTGGGTAAATTTTTTCTCCGCAGGTTTGTACATGTTCTTTTCTTCTGGGACAGAGGAATCACTAGCTTAGAATTTTTTGTGTTTTCGGGCATTTGCTGAAGTGGAAAATACTTGAGGGAAGGAATGAGATCAATTTCCGTCTTCTGTGTTTAAATTTCCTCCCTTTGCAATGGATTTTCATGGCTTTTGCGTGGATCTTGATTAGTCATTATCGAGGATCCATGTGTATAGGCGCAAATCCCCTTAATACCTCGAAGGACAACGAGCTCTAGTCATTGTAATTGTTTACTTCTTTTGGAAAGATTTTCATGCTTTCCTATTTTGTTGCCTTTATAAGGTGCTAACCGCAAGCTTCCCATTTCGCCTCGTTTCGCCGTTCCCTTCCGTGCTCACAACCTTATGAGCACAAGATTCTTTCTTCCCACATCTGAGGAATATCAAATTTTGGTACTGTCGTTTTATACAATGCGTTGTTCAAAACAGTTACTTTCTCTCCGGCGAAAAAACGCTTGTTCGAAGAGATTTCTTGCCATTTCGAAAATTTGTAAGAAAAAAAAAGCCTAATAATGTTAACTGTTAGGAAATAGTGGTAACTATTTATTTGCTGCCTAGTATAATTTTTCACGGCAGGGTGTGTTGCGAAATACAGCCACAGTGATGGTGAGATATTTGCGAAACACC